TGGATGGATGGGTGGATGGATGGGTGGATGGATGGATGGGTGGGTGGATGGATGGATGGGTGGGTGGATGGATGGGTGGATGGATGGATGGATGGGTGGATGGATGGACGGACTGAGGAATGGACAGAGAGATGGATGGGTCACGACAGGTGGGTGGATGGATGAGTTAGATGGATGGAGTTGGGTGGATGCACAGATAGACAGGTGGTGGGACACCGGATGGACGGATGGACTGGTGGATGGATGGGGGAGGGAAGATGGACCACTCTTCCCTCAGTCGTTTGCACAAGTGTTACCTTCTGGATGAGGCCGTCCTTGACACACCTGCTTGAATAAATCCTACCGTCACTGTTTCTCCCCACCTTTTTCCACAGTCATGTCCAGTGTCTCTTTCTTTTATTTTATTTTTGAGAGAGACAGAATGAGCAAGAAGGGAGAGGGGTGGAGGGAGTCAGAGTCCAACCAGACTCCATGCTCAGCAAAACCCTGGGATCACGACCTGAGCTGAAATCAAGAGCTGGACCCCAAGCACCCACCTCTCTTTTCTTCAGTTCCCGTGTGTCTCGTTGTTCATTGTGTGTGTCTCTTCCGACAGCCGGCGCGGAGCCGGCGGGGAGGGAGACGTGCGGGTGGGTGCGCGGCGGCCCGTGGGGGACGGAGCCCAGGGACGAGAGAACTGGATTCGTGGGGGAAGGCCTGGCAGGGCTGGGCTGGTGCCGCACCTGCAGCTCCAGCTGCATCTACAGGACACGACCGGTGTGTCCGCGGACGCCTGTTGGGCACGCAGATGCACGCGCTCCCTCTGGGCCCTGCCCTGGACGCTCACCTGCCTGGGGCGCCAGGGCGTGGCGGGGGGGGGCGTCAGCGGTCCCGGGGGTGCAGCGCTGTGCCGGCCCCACAGCCCACAGGTGGTGGGGTCCCGTCCCTGGTTTGCATCGCGACCGGGTTGTTAGGAGCGTCACCCGGCAGCCCCTGCCGCCCGCCTCACAGGGGTGCGTGCACCGTCAGGACACGGCGTGTGCGGGGAGCCCCCTCCCCGGGCCCAGCCCCCCCCCAGGGACACCTGCTCCGCGGGCGCTCCTTTATTTGCAGTTCTGCCTTTGACCGCCAAGCACCTCGGAGGGCAGGGTGGGCGTGTCTCCTTCTTGCAGCTCCAGAAAGCTCGGGGAAGGGATGGCGGGAAGGAGAGGGCGTGAGCCCGGCCAGACCCCTCTGGCGTCCCTCCCCGCCTCTGTACCGCATCCAGGGTGCCACCTGGCGGGGAGCTGGCCAACCACAGGTGCTGCCATGAGGCCTCGCGGCCGTCCTCTGCCCCCTCCTTCCCGGTCCCTGCTCCTGGGGACGGAGGCTACAGCCAGGGGCCCACCTGCCAGACGCGGGGTCCTGGCGGAGATCCCGATGGCCACTCAGGAGGACCCTGGCCGTGGCCGTGGGGGCCTAGGACCCTGGAGCTGCAGCTTCAGAACCCCGGTGCCACGGGACGGGAAGGGGGTGGCTGGGGCTACAGACCCGGGAGACCCGGGGAGAGGATGCAGTTCTTCGTGGCAGGGCGCGAGCCCGGGCTGCTCCGCACCGGTGGCCCTTAACCTGGTCTCTCGGCCTCCGCTGTGGGCACTTGGGCTGCGATCGGTGGCCGTGGCCTCCAGAGCTGGCCCCGCCCTCTACCCCTCGTGAGGACTAGGGCAGGACCCTCCCTGTCTGAGGGTCTCTGAGTCTGGGCCTCACGCAGACCCGAGGAGGCTCAGGGAGGAGGAGACCCAGGCCCAGGGGGGCCCTCTCTGGGACGTGGCTCTCATGCTACAAAGAGGAGGAAAGGGGGTGCAGAGGCCACGGGCATCCCTGCAGCCGGTGGAGTGGCCAGCACCCCGGGGAGGGCTGTGTCTAGGGCCACGCGACTGCTGGGCCCCCCCCTCCGTCCCCATCCCCCCCCCACCCCGGGCCGCGGCCGTGCCTCTGTGGATCTCTGGGGTCAGCCTGCTCCAGGGTGGGGTCTGTCGTTCCAGGGACAGAGGCCTGGGGAGCTGGTCCCGTCTCCCACCTGGTCCCTTCCCCAAAGGAGGTGTCCTGTGAACTCAGCCCCATCCAGGGCGGCTGTGGCGAAGGCGAGGGAGGCCGGCTCAGACGTCCCTCCGGGCAGCGCCCTCCCCCTGCGTGAGCAGAGCGCGGCCCCCACCCCGCCCGCCGTCCTGTGTTGGCCCCACGGCGGCTCACGCACAGACACAGCCCCACACACTCGGTGGGTCCCCCGCTCCCCGACAGCTTTGGTTCTGAGCCCGGGGGGCAGAGGTGGGTGCAGCGGCCGACAGCCCTGATCAGGAAGCAGACCGGCAGGAAACAAGCACGTGACAGGTCACTTCAGAGGGCCAGGCGCCCCGGAGATGACCACCAGGAAATGTGGAAGAGAGACCCGGGGCAGGACCCAGTGCTGGTGGGGGCGGGGGGGTGGAAGGGAGGTGGAGACGAGGGGGCAAAGCAGAGTCGGGATGGCTGGAGAGAGGGAGGGGGGAGATGGGCAGGGGGAGGGGAGGGGAGGGCAGGGGCCACGGGGCGGGTTAAGATGTTCCATTTCAACAATGGGGAGCCACGGAGGGTTGTAGGCAGGAGAGGTGAATGGCCTGATACTGGGCTGGGGGCGCTGGGGCGGGGTCTCCGGGAGGCAGAGGAGCAGGACGGGAATAGAGGGAGGGGAAGGGGGGGCAGGCGTGTTCCCCACAAGCTTGAGGGGCTGGGGAGACACCCGCAGGACCCCCAGCGGGCTCAGGCCCCAGGCCGGCAGGGTGGGCGTGAGCCCGGGCTGGTCACTGAGTTGGGGAGTGGCCCAGCAGACCCCCCATCTTGCCGGGGCTGTCGTCTGACCCTGTGCTCACGGCCACTCCCCTTCAGAATCTGGTCCACAGGGTCTCGGGCCCCGAGGGCTTGTGGGTTCCGCTTCCCTGGGGCCCATTATTTCCCGAGGAACCTCAGAAAACCCCCGTCCCCCCTGGGCGGGTCCCCAGCAAAGCCAGGGGACGAGCCCAGGCTGTGATGTGAGCCCTCGTGTCCAGGGGCAAAGCTGGCTTCCACTGCCTGGGCCGCCTCGGGGGTCCTGACTTCGCACGCAGTCCTGGGGCGCCCTCTGGTGGCTGATGGGTCAGACTGACGAGGCCCTGGGGTCCCAGAGGGCAGGGCCTAGATGCTGTTCCCCTCCCCTTCCCCAGCTCAGGGACCGAGGCATCCTGGTAGGCGGCCTGGGGAGGGGGGTCCTGGGGGTCTCTTTGAGGAAGGGGCATACAGAAGTGTCGTCCAGGCTCTGTTCTCACGCGTGACCCCCAAACTCAGAAGTCGGGCTTTCAGGTTCCCATTTTCCAGAGACACAGAGGCCCGGAGAGGGTGAGGATCCGCAGGGTGTGAGCCCAGGAGGGGAGGCGCAGTCTCTCGCTGCGGGTCCTCCGCTGGGCCGCACACCCCGGGCTCAGCCGTTCACCTGCTGGACAAAGAAACTGGTGTGCGTCCGGTGTGACATGGACGGACTTGCCCCCCGCCCCAGGCCACCCCCGGGGGCAGCCCATGGAGGGCATGACCACAAGCAAGCGGCGTGGCAGCCACCCCTACGTGGGGCCGCCTGCATTCGTGCCCAAGGCCGGGCCGGGAAAAGCTGGGCCTCCGCCTTGGGGAGGGGGGGCGGGGGGGCTTCGGCCACAGCAGGCCTGTGGGTCCGTCGTGCGGAGATCAGGTGGTGCCCGTGTCAGTCACGGCATTGGCTGCCCAGGTGCCAGGCGTGGCGGGCAGGGAGGAGGAGCAGAGGGCTGGCTGGCGGGCGCCCCGTGCGGTGGGCGGCCCGCACCCTGCATCGCTGCCAGCAGTCGCATGTCCGGGTGCCGGGGAGAAGGCAGGCAGGTAGGTGCCCTAAGCTGCCAGCCTCCAGGTGGCACGGGGAGGGGGCTCCAGCCACATCCCTGACTCTCGTCCCCCGGTCTGCAGCCTGGAGAGGACTCTGCCTTCCTGGGGTGGGGGAGGACAGCCTCCCGGTCTGACGCAGGGGGGTGGGAAGGGGCTGCCCCAGGCCGAAAGCCAGTGCTTGGGGCAGGTCCTGCCTGGCTGGTGGGGTGGCCCCAAGGCCCTGGGTCCTGGACTTCGGGGCAGCGTCTGCCCAAGCAGCTGGGAGAGGAGGCTGGGGCTCCAAGCCGGCACCTGTCTAGGTGAGGCTCACCCATACTGCCCTCCCCCTGACCCACGGCCTCCACGCCGGGCCTCACTCGGGGGACAGAGGGGCCACAGCACTGACCACTGGCCTGCTGAGCTCGGTGGGGGGTCTGCCTGGCGCCTTCTCACTGCTGGTCTCTCCCTGCATCTCATGAAGGAGGAGTTGGGCCCAGAGAGTCTGATGGGCTGGCCCACGGTCACACAGCTGGGGGAAGGGCTGGGCCAGGACCCCTGGGGCCTGGGTGCCTGGCTGCATCCATGCTGGGGCCCTTTCCCTGATGGCCTCTGAGAAGGGGTGGCCGTTTGCCCCCCCCCCAAGCGAGAGCCCCCAGTACCCTTGCTGCCAGGGCTAGAGATTTTGCCTCAGTTTCCCCAACCAGGATTTGTGGGGTGGGGTTCCGACCAGGGTTTGTAGGGGATCCCCCAGCTTCCCGGACGCCCCCACCCCTCCAGGAACAAGGACAGCAGCTCATGCAAATCCTGCCTTTTTGCATAGCCTGCCCACTCAGAGGCCCCATTTGCCTGGCACTCAGCAGGGGACCCAGATGCCCCCCCGAGGCCCCCAGGCCGGGGTGTGGGGCCGTGGTGGCGCTCCTAGGGACGCAGGCTGGTGCCCACGCTCCTGCTCAGGACCACCTGTCTGGTCAAGGAGGACTGAGGCCCCGGCGGGGAGGGAGGAAGGAGGAAGTCAGGGCCTGCCCCCACCATCCCCGCCAGGTCCCCTCCCCGGGCCTGCAGGGTCCCCTGCCTGAGGCTCACAGGGTCCAAGCACAGCCGCGTGGTCCTGGCCCCACGCCCCCCGGACCCTCGCACTCCCTGGGCGGTGCGCGTCCTGGTCACGGGGCACACGTCCAGAGGCGGCCAGGGGGCACCTGACCGGGCAGCGGCGCCACAGGCGCCTGGCGGGAGTGAGGCCTGTTCACAGACAGTGGCCCTGCGGCCGCCCTCCTGCCCCCACCCCCAGCCTGGCACACACTCTGCACCCGCCGCCTGCACTTTGGGGTTGAGGAATGTCCCCCAGAAATTCACAATGTGACTCATCTGGAAATGGCGTCTTTGCAGGCGTAACTAGTGGAAATGAAGTCACCGGGGGGTGAGGTGGGCCCCTATCCAGTGACTGGTGTCCCTGTGAGATGAGGGACGTTTGGACACAGAGACACAGGAGGGGCCACGTGAGGACGGAGGCAGAGGCTGGAGGGACGTGGCCACAGCCCAGGGACGCCTGGAGCCCCCGGGAGCCGAGGGGGCGGGGAGGACGCTCCCTCAAGCCTCTGGAGGGAGCACGGCCCCGCGACCCTTGCATCTGGACCTCGGGCCCCTGAGCTGGGAGCAGGCAGGTCCCTGTTGCTCTAAGCCGCCCGCTCTGTTGGACTCGGTCACAGCTGCCCTGGTCATATCTGCACACGGCCAGGCCTTGTCCCCCCAGACACCAGCCTCCTATTAAAAGTCCGTAATCCCCTGCTTGGAGAGGTCACATTCAAATCCAGCCCAGGTTCCTGCTGGGGGGGGGAGGAGGGGAGCCAGGAGGATTTGCATCCTGCCCGCCCTCAGGGTGCCCGCCCTGCCCAGACACAGGGTGGCCCCGGCCTGGGGTCTGGCACCAGCACGGCAGCGGCCCTCTGTGTTGTGGCTGCAGGAGTGGCCAGGCAGTGGGGACAGATGACCACACAGTGTACGTCCCAAATCGGGGCATCAGGGGACCGTGTGCCCTCTAAAGCGTCGAGGGGCGTCCTGCCTCGCTTCTTCCAGCTTCTGGGGCTCCAGGGGTTCCTGGGCGTGTGACCTCATGGCTCAGCCTCTCCTCTTCCTAGGAGGACCCCAGCCACTTCCAGGGGCCACCTTACGGTCCTCATCTGAATGTGATGATGTTTGCGGAGAGCTTATTTGCAGAGGGCCCCGTTCACAGGGCCAGGAGTTAGCACTCGGACATGCGTTTCCGGGGGACACAGGCTGGGGAGGCCGTGAGGATGCAGGTCCCTGCAGAGCCTGTGGGGCCGTGACCGCCACTGCTGTCCCTTCCTGTGTACGCAGGTGGCCCCTCTCCAAGAAACAGAGGGTGCTCTTCTGGCCGGGGGACACACCAGCCTGAGCCTCTCACCTACAACCCCTGTCTGGCAGGCACTCCAGGGTGTCCATCCCATCCCGGGGGTGCGGGCAGATAGGCTGCGTGTCCGGAAGCCCAGGGGACTTTTGGGGTTTCTAGGACACCCCCCACCAAAGCCTCTGGGAAGTAGTCACCGGAGAGGCCGACCCGAGACTCCCCGGGGGGTGGTGAGTAGCAGGGCCGGGAGCCAGGTGGAGCGGCTAAGGTGCAGCCCCACCCCACTGGGAAGGGGTGGGACGTGGGGGGCTCCAGCCGCTGAAGCCGGGTTGCGGGGGGGCCTTGTGGACGCCCAGCAGGGAGGGCACTGGGGCAGAGCCAGCAGGGCGGTGGGGGGTGGGGGAGGGCCTTCCCGGTGAAGGCAGCCGCTGGCGTCCTGCAGGGAGGGGGACAGGGTTTGCCCCTCATGCCCTTGGAGGTGGGCCCTGTCCCCACAGAGAGGTCCTCATGTGGGACGCGGGGAGCCCCGGCCCTGGTAGCCCCAGGGCTGCCGGACGTGCGCGGGCACCGGGTCTGTGCAGGGGCGAGATCGAATTCGGAGGGTCTGGGAAGAAGCGAGGCAAGGTAAGGGGCTGCCCTCCCCTGTGCTGAGGCCCACCCTTCCCCCTCCACCTTGTCAGAAGCCCTGAGCTCCCCCCACCCCTGCACACGGAGCACTGGGCACATGACCCCTCCAGAGCCGTTGTCAGAGCCTCCGGGGGCCACGTGCCCTCTGCCTCCCCCCGCACCCCCATGCACCGCACATCCAGGACCCCTCCTCTGTGCCCCCCACTCCGCCCCGCCACGGAGAGGGAAGCGAGGCCCAGACAGCAGTCAGGGCTGCCAGGGTCAAGGGGCCGGTGAAGGCGGGACCCACTCGAGCCCTGGCTTCCTGCTGCCACTCTGCGTCTGATCCGGGTCAGCCTCTCTCCTGATGCTGGCTGCTCCCCATCCCCTTGTGCCCCCGTGCCCAGTGCCCTGTGCCCACACCCCCCATGCCCAGTGCCCCATACCCAGCACCCATACCCAGCACCCCATGTCTAGTACCCCCATGCCCAGCACCCCATACCCAGTACCCCCAATACCCAGCACCCCACACACACCCTGAGGCTGCAGGCCACCCTGACCTGCAGTTCGTGAAGGTTCCGAGCACCGTGGCCCCCTCCATGCTCTTCGACCTCCTGCTGACCGAGTGGCACCTGCCGGCCCCCAGCCTTGTGGTGTCCCTGGTGGGCGAGGAGCGGCCGCTGGCCATGAAGTCCCGGCTGCGGGATGTGCTGCGCAAGGGGCTGGTGAAGGCAGCTCAGAGCACAGGTGAGGCCCTGCATGGCCCCCAGCGCCCCTGCGCACAGCCCCAAGGCCCTGCGCTCGGCCTCCCTCCTGCAGCCTGCAGGGGAGCAGCGGAGGGGCCAGGACCTCCCCCCCCCGGAGGCGCAGCCCACGCCACGGGCCTCGGCAGGAGCCTCCCGGGCAGCCGCTCTGTCTGCGCCCTGTGCCCAGGCCCCCACCGCACCCTTGGCCTCCTTCAGGAGAGTGGCCTGGCCGGACGGTGGCTGGGTCAGAACCACGTCTAGCCCGGCGGGTCCAGCCCAGCAGAAGGCGGTGAGGTTTCCGAAGCCCCTCGCCGCGAGGTCACTGTGGGGCAGCAAAGGCTCGCACACCCAACCAGGCCCAGGGCTTCATGGTTCCGGACAACCTTCCCCGACTCCGGTCCAGCACAGGCAGTGGCCTGCGGTCTGGGGGGAGGGGGCGCCCTGGGGACCCACTCCCGACTGACACTTGCAGGCAGGAGGGGGGCTGTGGCTCTGGGGGGGCCTGAGGACCCAGGCCCCCGGCCACACTGAGCCCCATGCCGTAGGAGCCTGGGTCCTGACCAGCGCGCTCCGGGTGGGCCTCGCCCGGTACATCGCACAGGCCGTGCGTGACCACTCACTGGCCAGCACGTCCGCCAAGGCCCGCGTGGTGGCCGTCGGCATCGCCTCGTTGGGCCGCGTCCTGCACCGCCAGCTTCTGGATGACGCCCCGGTAAGCGTCTGTCTGGCAGCCACCCAGCACGTTGGGCCTGGGGGGCGGGAAGGGTCCCGAGGCCCCCACACCAGGGTGGGAGGTACATTGAGGAAGTCACCGACGCGCTCCCCAAGGCTGGCCACACCCCACCATCTGCTGCCCACCGGTTATTTGGCACACCCGGGGCCCCCCACACGCCAGGCCTGCAGTGGCCAGAGTAGCTCCTACCCTGGGGGCTCACAGGCTCGGGGAGCGAGGCCGGCCCCCTGAAGGACTGAAACACCCAGGTGAAGCTGTGAGGGGAGCAGAGGGAGGGAAGAAGGGGAGGGGGGAGGAGGAAGAAGAGGGACTGGGAGGGAGGGGGGAGAGGAGAGGGAGGGAGGAGGAAGAGGGAGGAGGTGAGAGAGGAAGGAGGGGAGGAGGAGGAAGAAGAGGGGAGGAGGAGAGAGAAAAGGAGGGAGGAGGGCGAGTGGGGAGGAGGGGCAGGGGGAAGGGAGGAGGAGTGGGGGGAGAAGCAGAAGGAGGGGAGGCGGGAGGGAGAGGAGCCCTGCACACATGGCCAGCAGGTGGCAGCACTGCTTAGGGAACAGTGTGGGGAGGGGTCTGCCGGACCCCCGCCGGCGCAGGGCCCCGCCCCCCCCGTCAGGACTGGTGCCCCAGGGGACGAGGCCCCACCTGGCTGCTGGCCCGCAAGCCTGGGTGACCTGGGCAGGTGATCTCTGCTCCCGGCCCAGAGTCTGCCCCAGGCAGCCCCACGGCTCTGGCTTTGTCTAGAGGACCCCCTGGCCGCCCCCCCCTCCCCACACCCCTGGGTCCCAGGCGCTGGCAGCCCAGCCCTCTGTCCCTCTGGGGGTGGGGACAGTCCTGGGCAGAAGGAACCTCACGCAGGCCTCATGGTGTGTGCGGGGTGGGGTCCAGGAGGACAGCCCCGTCCACTACCCCGCGGACGAAGGCAGCGGCCAGGGCCCCCTCTGCTCGCTGGACAACAACCACGCCCACTTCATCCTGGTGGAGCCTGGGCCCCCCGGGAAGGGGGACGGGCCCACGGAGCTGAGGCTGAGGCTGGAGAAGCACATCTCGGAGCAGAGAACCGGCTACGGGGGTGAGACCTGCCCCGGGGGGGGGGGGCGTCATGGGGGCAGAGGGTGTGGGCAGGGTTGGACGGACCCCCAGGTGGGCAGGGAAGGGCATTGCAGGCTGAAGGCGCTGTGCGTGCCTTCGAGTGGAGGCCTGGACTGTAAGGCTGTCAGGGACGGGAAGCCATCAGGGGGCCCGTGGGGGCCCAGCTAGGGGTCTGGCCCTTCCTGCTAGACGGCAGAGCTGCAGGTTTGTTTGCCCGGGCCCCCCCCCTCCCCATCCCCCCACCCTGGGCCGGAGGCTCTGTCTGTGGGCTCAGGGCTTTGGGAAGAAAAGGGATTTGCAAATTTTGAAAGGCCTAGTTTCCTCTACCAGCCCAGCGAGCCATGAGGTCCGCTGCCACCAGGGGGCAGTGTTACCCAAGGGATGGCAGTGGCTGTGGCCAGGGGTGGGTGGGGGAGAAGGCCAGACTTAGTAAGAGATACTAGTGCGTAACTAAAACTTATACACAAAATATATAACTGCTTATGACATGTATAAACGATATAAAATATTTGTCGACCGAGTGTTCTTTAGAAGTGAAAACACAACCAAAGGCATGTCTAAACCACGCAGGTGGTGAGCGGCTCGGGTTTGCTGAAGCCCGGACGGCCCACTCCCGTTTACCCTCCAGATTCAACCAGGAGGCGCCTCTGGGAGTCGGGGGGTCCCGGGCGGGAGCCCCCTGGCCCCGGCCTCCCCGGGTCCTGCAGGTGCACATTTGAAGTCTCATTTCCGGTTAATGTTCCGGGGATGACACTGACCAAGGCCCCTCCCTCAGCCCTTGGGTTTGCTCCTGCGGGTCCCAGAGGGTCTGCAGGGCGGTCAGTGGAACTTTCTGCCACGATGGGAATAGAGGCGCCTGAAACGTGGCGGGCGCAGCCAGGGACTGAGTATTCCACTTCATTTATGTTCCTTTGTGTTTGAATACCTGTGACTGGCCTACTGGACGGGGGGGTGGGGCTGGCGTCCTTGTCCCCAAGCGAAGGGGCTTGTGTATGTGATATGCAGCCTGGAGCCCACGCTTCACTAGAAAAAGCCCCTGGGCAGGTGTTTCCCAGAGGTCGACGGCCCGAGGCCTGGGGGGCCCCCCCAGGTCCCCCCTCGCTCGGGGACCTGGGGGGACTTGACCGGTGCTCTGTCTGCAGGCACCGGCAGCATCGAGATCCCCGTCCTCTGTCTGCTGGTCAATGGTGACCCCGGCATCCTGGAGGTAGGGCGGGGGAGGGGGGAGGGGGCCTGGCGGGCGCCCCCTGGCCGGGCTACGGCCTGGGACAGGGCACCTCTGGTAGTGGGTCCAGGCTGGCCCCCCGCAAGCTGACTCGGGGTCCGCTCTCCCCACCACGCCGCCTCAGAGGATTTCCAGGGCCGTGGAGCACGCTGCCCCGTGGCTGATCCTGGCGGGCTCAGGGGGCATCGCGGACGTCCTGGCGGCCCTGGTGACCCAGCCCCACCTCCTGGTGCCCCAGGCGGTGGAGAAGCAGTTCAAAGAGAAGTTTCCCGGCCAGCGCTTGTGCTGGGAGGACATCGTGCACTGGACGCAGCTGGTAGGAGCCCCCTCCCGGTGGGGCCACCCCTGGGGAAAGTCCCGCGGGGCATCTCCTTGCCCCCGCCCACGAGGAGGGCCCCAGCCTCCTCCCTCCCCAGCAAGGCCTCCAGGACCGCTCTGGCTTCAAGCCCCTGGCCTGCCCCCTGCCCCCAGGGCCACTCAGGGCCTTTGTCCTGGTGTCCCAGCTGCAGAAGATCACCGCCCACCAGCACCTGCTCACCGTGCACGACTTCGAGCAGGAGGGCTCCGAGGAGCTGGACACTGTCATCCTTAAGGCACTGATAAAAGGTGAGGGCGCAGGGGAGGCGGTAGCCGGGGTGCTGCCCACACCGCCCCATCCTTGGCCTCACCCTCCAGGATCTGACACGTGCGTGGGGCAGGGCCACCGCCCAGAGACCACGTCAGTCAGCGGCCAGGACTCCTGGGAGGTGTCCCTCTGCTGTGTGGGCGTGTGCCCGTGTGTGCCTGTGTCTGTGTGAGTGCGTGTGCCCATGTGTGTGCCCGTGTCTGTGTATGTGTGTGTGTGCCTGTGTCTGTGTGAGTGCATGTGCCCACGTGAGTGTGCTCGTGTGAGTGCGTGTGCCCGTGTGTGAGTGCGTGTGCCCGTGTGTGGTGTTTGGCTCCTTCCTCTGAGCCCGTGTTTCCGAGGACCAGCCACGCTGTAGCATGTTGCTGCCTCCCTGCTTTCCGAGGGACAGTCCAGGGACTGGAGGGACGCAGCCCGTGTCTCTGTTCCTCGACGACAGACACTGTGCTGTCCCTGCTGTTCGGCTGTCCCTCAATAGGATTTTCATATTGGAGACACGCCGGGCTGAGGGACTGACCCGGGCCGGGAGGGACAGCGGGGCCGGGACGCCCTCAAGGGGAGGGAGCTCCTCCAGACAGACCGTCTGCTCCCCCCGCTTCACTCACCCTGTCCTGTCGGGGTCCCCCCTGCTCTGCCCTTCCTGTCCCATCGGGGTCCTGGGGGCCACTGTTGCTGCCGACAGCCTTGCAACTTCGTGGGCCTCGCACTGTCGTTCAGAGGGCGTGAAGCAGGCCACGGCTGCAGGGCTGTGTACCCAGCAGACCACCGCGAGGGGCCCTGAGACCCCGGCTCCGGGGGCCCCTGGGCGCACCCCTCACCTCCTGCCCGCTCCGCCCACAGCCTGCAAGAGCCACAGCCAGGAGGCGCAGGACTACCTGGATGAGCTTAAGCTGGCCGTGGCCTGGGACCGCGTGGACATCGCCAAGAGCGAGATCTTCAACGGGGACGTGGAGTGGAAGGTGCCGGCCCCCACCCCCACCCGCCAGCTGATGCCTCCTGAGCCTCCCTTCTGGCCGGCACAGGGCGAGGGCGGAGCGGAGGGCCTGGGGGCAGGCGGTGTGGCACTGGGGGGGGGGGGCCTTTCTGCCCCATGAGGCTGAGGGGGGCAGGGAGGCCACGGCACCCGTCGGGGGGTCCCCTGCACGGCTCCCACTCACTCTGCCCGTCTCCCCGCCCGCCCCGGCGTGTCTGGTGGCGGCCCCAGTCCTGTGACCTGGAGGAGGTGATGATGGACGCGCTGGTGAGCGACAAGCCCGAGTTCGTGCGTCTCTTCGTGGACAACGGCGCCGACGTGGCTGACTTCCTGACGCTGGGGCGGCTGCAGCAGCTCTACCGCTCGGCGCCCCCCAAGAGCCTGCTCTTCGACCTGCTGCAGCGGAAGCACGAGGAGGGCCGGCTGACGCTGGCCGGCCTGGGCGCCCAGCAGGCCCGCGAGCCGCCCGCGGGCCCGCCCGCCTTCTCCCTGCACGAGGTGTCCCGCCTGCTCAAGGACTTCCTGCACGACGCCTGCCGCGGGCTCTACCAGGCGGTGAGCGGGCGACGGCCGGGCGGGGGCGGGCCGGGCCGGGCTGCGGGGCCGGGCCGCTGACGGCTGTCCTGCAGGAGCGGGGGCCGGCCAGGTGGCCCGAGGCCCGGAAGGGGCTGCTGGACCTGAGCCGGAGGAGCGAGAACCCATGGCGGGACCTGTTCCTCTGGGCCGTGCTGCAGAACCGCCACGAGATGGCCACCTACTTCTGGGCCATGGTGTGTGGGCCCCGGACTGGGGGCGCGCCATGCAGGGGCGGGGGAGGTGGGCAGCCTCCTCAGACCCCGTCTCTCAGGGCCAGGAGGGGGTGGCCACCGCCCTGGCCGCCTGCAAGATCCTCCGAGAGATGTCCCACCTGGAGGCGGGGGCCGAGGGGGGCCGCACCAGGAGCGAGGCCAAGTACGAGCAGCTGGCCCTGGGTGAGCCACCGGCCTGGCGGCCAGCCGACCCGCGCGGCGGGGCCCCGGGAGGGGCAGACGGGCACTGGGCGGTGGCCCTGCAGCCCCAGGTCCCGGGCACAAACTGGGTCCTGCTGCCGTTCGGGACATTTGGGGTGATGGACGGGGGGCGGGCAGGGCCTTGGGCGGGTCAGGTGGGATGGGCGTGTCCGCGCGGGAGCCTCAGCGGCCCTGGCGAGGCGGGGTGGCCGCGTTGGCGAGCGGGCCGCCCTCGGGCAGACCTCTTCTCCGAGTGCTACGGCAGCAGCGAGGACCTCGCCTTCGCCCTGCTGGTGCGCCGCAGCCGCTGCTGGGGCAAGACCACCTGCCTGCACCTGGCCACCGAGGCCGACGCCAAGGCCTTCTTCGCCCACGACGGGGTGCAGGTGAGGGTCAGGGGCGAGGAGGGCGGCGGCCAGGAGGTGCCCCCGCTGCCGCTCGCCATGCCCTGGCCGTGCAGGGCAGGGGCTGCTCCGTTCCCGGACGGTGCCTGCCTGGCTGCCCTCTGCTTGTTGGCAGCCCTATCTCCACCTGGGGTCTCAGCAGAAGTGTCACCTCGTCAGCTCAGCCCTGCCGGACCCCAAAACACGGCCTCTCCCATTGACGGTTGTCCCCCCCAGGACGGAGGGGTGGGGGGGGACCTGAGGCTGTGCCTTTATTTCAGGCCTTCCTGACCAAGATCTGGTGGGGGAACATGGCCTCGGGCACAGCCATCCTGCGGCTGCTGGGGGCCTTCCTCTGCCCAGCCCTCATCTACACCAACTTCATCACCTTCAGGTCTGTCGGGTGCAGGCGGCCGCCAGGGGCCCTGGGCTTCGCTCGTGCCGGTGGTGGCCGCCACCCCCCCATGCCCCACGTCCAGGCCCCGCTGGGCAAAGACACCCCCCCACAGCCCTCCCCGCTGCCCCCTGTGCTTTTGCTGGCTGGGTGCTCGGGGCCAAGCAGGAGCCTCCGGTGCCCTTCCCACGGGTCCTGAGGGTGCCCTATGCTCCCAGCGAGGAGGCCCTGCTGTGGACGGCCCCCGAGGGCCTGCAGGAGCCGGGCGGCCTGGACTCGGAGAAGAGCCTGCTGTGCAGCCCGGGCAGCCGGTGAGGACGCTGGCAGGGGGCCGGCCAGGGGGCTGGACTCGCACCACGGGGCCCCGGCTGCCGGCCTCACCGCCACCCGTGGTCTCTCCTTGTGGCTCAGGCGGGACGCGTTGACCGAGGCAGCAAGGGCTCAGGGTAACCGAGGTCCGCGTGCCGCCTTCCTGCTGGCGCGCTGGCGGATGTTCTGGGGCGCGCCCGTGACCGTGTTCCTGGGGAACGTGGTCATGTACTTCGCCTTCCTGTTCCTGTTCACCTACGTCCTGCTGGTGGACTTCAGGCCACCTCCCCAGGGGCCGTCTGGGCCCGAGGTCACCCTCTACTTCTGGGTGTTTACACTGGTGCTGGAAGAGATCCGGCAGGTCAGTGGTGGGCCCTGCCCCCGCCCCCTGCGCCCCCCGCCAGGTCCCCCAGCCGTCAGGGGACCGTCCACCCCTCTGCCCCTCTGCCAGGGATTCTTCACAGATGAGGACACACGTCTGGTGAAGAAGTTCACCGTCTACGTGGAAGATCACTGGAACAAGTGTGACATGGTGGCCATCTTCCTGTTTATTGTCGGCGTCGCCTGCAGGTCTGTGGGGCCCAGAGCCCTGGGCACGCACAGGCCTCAGAAATCCAGCTTGTCCTTGGCACGCACGCCGCGTGTCCTGGAGGAAGCACCTGCCCCTCCGTGGGCACTAGCAGCCCGCCCCATCTGTCCCCTCCCCGCCAGGATGCTGCCCTCAGTGTTTGAGGCCGGTCGCGCGGTCCTTGCCGTCGACTTCATGGTGTTCACACTCCGCCTCATCCACATCTTTGCCGTCCACAAGCAGCTGGGCCCCAAGATCATCATCGTGGAGCGGATGGTGAGCCCCGGCCCCGGCGGCCCCCTCCCCAGCCTGGCCCCGGGGGCAGGAGCAGGTGAAACAGTGACCACTCCCCCCCTCCCCGCCCCGCTCCAGCCGGGCGACTGCTAACACTCTCCCTCCTTCCCCAAGATGAAGGACGTCTTTTTCTTCCTCTTCTTCCTGAGCGTGTGGCTCGTGGCCTACGGCGTGGCCACGCAGGCCCTGCTGCACCCCCACGACGGCCGCCTGGAGTGGGTTTTCCGCCGCGCGCTCTACCGGCCCTACCTGCAGATCTTCGGGCAGATCCCGCTGGACGAGATCGACGGTCAGCACGCAGCCCGGTGGAGGGGGGCCGCCTCTGAGCCGGCTGGACACAGGCCCCCCACTTCGGGGTGCAGTCAAATGGGGTCCAGGGGTCCAGTTTACAGAGGCTCCTGTTACAAGACCCCAGACATGGGGCCGTGGAGAGGAGCTGGCTGAGATGGGCAGGTCCCTGAGACGGTCCCCAGGCCCAGCTCACCTGCGGGGCTTGGGCCCAGCCCAGGTGCAGCCCGGGAGGGCTCCTGTTGGTCACGGACACCGGAGACCGCGGGCTCCAGGCTGGAAACTGAGGCACGAGGAGGCTGCCAGGCAGGCAGGGGCCCTGCTCTGGGGTGGGCTGTGCCAGGGCAGACACTGTGGACGCAGGGGAGGGGCCGTTCCGGTCCATCTCCAGGCCGGGTTCCGACACCTTCCCAGGACCGTGGGGACAGTGCTTCAGAGCCTGGGCGCCGGGGGCGAGAGGAGCGTGCGGAATGGGCCCCGGGCGGACGCACAGGCCAGGACGGGGGCCGGGAGGTGCCGCGCACCCACCCCCTGCTGCACGCCCGGAGCTCACCGTGGGCTCCCGGCACAAAGACTGACTCGGGGGCCATTAGGAGAGGGCCTCCCCCCAGAGAGGGAGCCACGGCCATGCCAGCCCAACACATGTGCACAGTGGGGACACAGGACACATGTGCAGACAGAGGCCCCCAGGGTCACCTGGACTCGGTCACAGCACCAAGCCCAGGAGGGGTGGCCACAGAAACACAGCGAAACATGCAGGGCCTGCGCTCACCCACTGAGATCTCCTCCTTCCCTCCCTGCCTCCCTTCCCGTGAGCGTGGGGGGCTGGCTGCGGAGGGGCCAGAGAGGTGATCCCCAGCCCCCCCAGGGCGCAAGGCCCAGCCCACTCCCACATTCAGCGGTGGCACTCCCACTTCCTTTGACCTGGTGTGGCCCAGAGATGCTGTGTCCGCAGTCGCTGCAGCCATCAGTGCCGAGGGTGGCCTGGCCAGATGAGCTCTGGAGGCGATGCAGACTTGCCCCCCAGCTGGGTGCCATGTGACAGGCCTCAGTGTTATAAAGGCCCTGAGAAGTTCTGCATGGGGGGACACAGTCACCCCTTGCGTAGGGCAGCTTTCTCCAAACTAGCTTTGAGCACAGCCCTTGGTGGCAGAGGTGAGGAAGCACACAACCACCAGCAGAGACTGGGGTCCGCCGTGCCCCATCTCCCAGATGGCTGCGCCCCCAGCGCGTGTGGCCCTGGCCATGACCACAGTCAGGTGGGGGTGGAGAGCTGACCACCCGTCCGGTTTGACAGGACGGGGATGTGCTACGACGGGAACTTTCAGTGCTCAGACAGTCCCGTCAGCCAGGGGAGCCGGTCACCGGCCGGGGCTCCATCCCCGGGGGCCTGAGCCCGAGGGGAAGCCCCGCGGATCTGAGGGTGCCGGCCGCCCGCCCCGCGCCACCTCGCCCCTCCCGTTTCAGAAGCCCGCGTGAACTGCTCCCTGCACCCGCTGCTGCGAGAGGGCCCAGCCTCCTGCCCGAACCTCTACGCCAACTGGCTGGTCATCCTCCTCCTGGTCGCCTTCCTGCTGGTCACCAACGTCCTCCTCATGAACCTGCTCATCGCCATGTTCAGGTGCCCCCCCACTGTCCCCGCTGTCCCGGCCCGGGGGCTGCAGGGGCCTCTCCACCGCGGGAGGGGCTGGGGCCTGGGTGCGAGGGGTCACCCCCAACACTGGCTCCCCTTCAGCCGGGCCCCAACTGCAGGCAGAGGGAGGGCAGGGCCCTGAGGAGGGGAAGGGTCAGGGGTAGGGCTGTCCCCTCCCCGGAACCAGAAGCCGGGGTCTGTCCAGGAGAGCAGGGGGGGGGACCCCACTCCAGTGAGCTCCACTCCAGCCACTCCCGCAGAGAAGTTGTGATCTGAGATGATCACAGCAGAAGGGGGCGCCCACAGCTCTGGGAGCCGCTCGGGAGGGGCTGGGGCGCCTGTGTGTCCCTGCCAGCCCCACGCCGGCCCCACAGCTACACGTTCCAGGTGGTGCAGGGCAACGCCGACACGTTCTGGAAGTTCCAGCGCTACCACCTCATTGTGGAGTACCACGAGCGCCCCGCCCTGGCCCCGCCCTTCATCCTCCTCAGCCACGTGAGCCTGGTGCTCAGGAGGCTCCTCCGGAAGGGGGCTGAGCAGAGGCGGGCTCGCCTGGGTGAGGCCACAGGGCTGGACACAGCCTGGCTGCCCTGGACCGTGGGGGGTGTGGGTGGGGTGGGCAGGCGAGGAGAGGCCGGGGCCCCTCCCCAACCCCCAGAGCAGCTGGCACAGGGCTGAGCCGAGTTCGCTGCAGAGGGGCCATCCCCCCACCTCCCACGCCGGGGCTGCAGAGATGGACAGCGCCCCCCGCACTTGCCCCCGGCTCCCCTGGCCCCGAGGCCCACATGGCTGTGGCCAAGCCTGTGGCTGCCCCCACCTCCCCAGAGAGAGACTTGCCGGAGCCCCTGGACCAGAAGATGGCCACCTGGGAGGCGGTTCAGAAGGAGAACTACCTGAGCAAGCTGGAGAGACAGAGAAAGGACAGCAAGGGGGAGGTGCTGCGGAAAACCGCCCACAGGTGCCGGGGGCCCAGGGAACCCCCACCTGGGGGCAAGCGGCTGTGTCCCTGCAGCGCCTCCCAAGGGAGGCCCGACCCCCGAGTGGGGCGCTGGCGGCTGGAAGACACGCCCCCCGCAGGACGTCTGTGGCTATCACCGCGGGGTGTCGGGCCCATAAGCTGGGCAGACTGAGGGTGGCAGGAGCTGCAGCCTGGCCTGGCCTGCCGTTAGGGGGCAGGAGGGCCAATCCAGGGGGTGCCCCCCTTGCTCTGGGGTCTCCCGAGTGGAACTCTCCCCAACCCTCTGGGTCCCCCCAAAATGGCCCATCCCAGCTGTCCAGGTGCCCGTGGCTCCCGCCTGCCCTGTCCCCAAGTCTTGCTGGCAGGCCTTCCTCAGCGCCCGTGGGCCTCCCAGGGAGGGGTCTGAAGGGCTCCCTGCACCCAGGTCTCAGGACGAGGGAAGAGGGCACGCCACCTCACCCCACCCAGAGAGGCCTCAGGGACCCCAAACCTCAGGGCCTGGGGGACAGGGGACGGAGTAGATGGGGAGCATCCCCGAATTTGGAGCGCCCTGTACCTACCAGCTTCTGCTACAGGGTGGACCTTGTTGCCAAGTACCTCGGGGGGCTGAGAGAGCAAGAAAAGCGCATCAAGCACTTGGAGTCACAGGTAGGCAGGGAGAGCTCGTGCCGTCTCCTGGCAGGGGGCCCTCACCCGCGACCCTGCGCCCAGGGCAGGGGGAGGCCCTCGGGAGGCTCAGTACCTGTACCTGCACCCCCACAAGTAACCTCAGAGACGGTGTGCCCTCCCTGGAGAGGGTACTGCGCTCAAGACCCCTCACGCCCCTCCCCTCAGGTAGAGCCAGAGGAGGGGAGGTCACGGGGAAGCAGGGCTATAGGGCTGCCCCAGATGCCTCTCTCCTGCAGGTCACCTACTGCACAGAGCTCCTGTCCTCCATGGCCTGGGGCGGCCCCCACCAGAGTAAGTGGTGTCCGGGGACGGCAGGGAGTGGGGAGGGGCCCAGGCTGATGTGGGGACGGGCAGAGTGCTGTGCTGTGTCACCTGCCTTCTCTGGGCCTCTGCTGCCTCCTTGTCCTGGCGGGGGCGGGGGGGGGAGGTGGCTGGCCAGTCTTTAGGGCCGGGCAGGCGCCGTGTGCCGAAGCCCATCCACTCAGCCAGGCCGGCCCGGGGGGCCCTGTCCAGCAGCAGCGCTCCTGAACCGCTTCCCTGGCCCTCTCACCCAGAGCCACCATGTCCTGGCTCCTCTGAACGAGGCACCGCTCCCTTCCCTGGGCCTGCCCGCTGGACGCCCAGCAGCTGAGGGGGCTTCCTTCCTTGCCAGACTCCCAGAACACCGAAGACGGACACCAGCAAGCGTCTGCTGACCGCAGGGAGGCTGGCGGCGGCTCTCGGACACCGGAACCATTAGGAGCGTCGGCGCACGGGGCCCACCCCTCCCAGAGCCCTGTGCCTGGCCCTCTGGCCCAGATCAGGATGGGCAGGCGGGGATACGGCCAGTGGCGGGCCGGCCTGGGCCCTGAAGATACACCAAACGTCTCCCCAGCTCCGGCAGAGCCCTCAGCGGGCTGTGGCTCTAGTGGCCTTGTCAGAAGGAAGGGCTCCCTGCCCTGCCTGGCACCTTCCCAGGACCTCTCTCCCCCTCAAAGCATGGTGGGCCCCCTTCCAGACTGGCAGAGCCCCGTGGGTCCCTGTCCCTAACTGCCCAGCCTGGGCTGACAGCAAGCACTTGCTGAGCGCTGTGCCTCCCTCCTGTCTGGTGGGCACATCTCGGGGCTCACGCGCATCTCCCACCCCCCCTGTGTCACCCACTAAGAGACTACTTTGTTCAAAACGTTTGTGGCTACTTCTGCCTTTATGACCGGGTCCAGGTGTCTACTACGCATGTCGGCTCTCACCCCACATGCCCCCAGGTGCTCTCATGGCACGGCGGGTGCTCCCATGCCACAGCAGGTGCCGGGCTGTGTCCAGCCTGGGCAACGGCCCCCGGATGCTGCCCCCACAGCTGCTTTATGACACCCACACCGAGCCATTGAGGGCCAGCAGGGCAGTGAGTGTGGGTTCATCTGCTCTGTGGGGCTGGGGTCCGGGCTCCTGTGCTCCCCCTAGCCAGGGTGAGTGGCCAGCCAGGTTGGCCCTCACTTCCTCTGGGGGCCTGGGGCAGGGACAGGCCCGGCAGGCGGCCCGGTCTCCACTGAGTCCCGCACCAGACCCGGGAGACAGGCCTGTTCCTGTCTGCCTTCCCTGACACCTTCAGGGGGCAGGCGTGCTGGTGCTGAACCCAGACGTCCATTTATAAACCCTCCCTGTCCCCTCAACACGAAGCCGGGGAGGCTCACATGAGGAAGGAGGACGTCAGAGAAGCCCCGAGGTGGAGGGTCTATAGGGTCTATACAGAGACACGGAGCCTGAGGAGCAGCCAAACCTTTACTGTTGCCCATGGGTACATGGTGGGCCAGGACTTTGCCACCCGCAGGCAAGTGCTGCTTCAGGGACCACCCCCAAACCCCCCGCCCAGGATGCTGGTGCCTCCTACTGGTGGCCTCCCTTCCCAAGGTGGTGGGGCCCTGAGGCCCCTCCACCCCAAGGGGGACAGTGACCCTGGCCGCCCTCCTCCGCCAGCCGGGCAGCGTCTTCTCTCAGACCTCAGCACCCGGGGCCTCGGGTGCACTGTTCCTGTTCCGGAAATGGTCTCTGCTCCGCTTCCTGCTGCTATGGAAGCCGACGGTCTCCACCCCTGGGGGCCCCGCAGCAGACCCAGCGTGGGCCGCCCCTGGCAGTGAGCCCACCTCCTGAGGGTCCCCAGGGGCGCCGTCCTCAGCCTCAGGGCTCGCCAGGTGGGCCAGCTCCACCGGGCCCTCGCCTCCTGCTGCTCCTGGGCCCCCAGGGGCAGCCCCGCCCGGCTCTCCTGCCTTCCTCAAGGCCCTCTTCCTCTCAGGTCTGGCTTCACCCGCGCGGGCAGGTTTGGTGAAGATGACTCTTCCCTCCCCGCAGCTGGAGGGGTCCTGATTGAAGGAGGGCATGTAGTCGCCGGGGGCAGCCAGGCTCCTAGAGCTCAGGAAGGCCAGCGCGGCAGCCTGGTTGCTCTGCTCGCTGGCCTCGGCCACGTTCTCCAGGCTGTACTTGGTCCAGCGCTCAGGGTGGGCCACATAGTCAGGGACGGGGGGCAGCTTCGGGCGGGCAGGATTCCGGCCGGCCCCGCCCGGGCCCTCCACCGGGGGCTGGCTAGAGGGCTCAGGTGGCTGGGCGAAGTCCCCACTGTCACCAGGCAGAAGCTGCCCAGCTGCCCCCTCCAGGCAGTCAAAGATGTTGCGGCTGCGCCAGGAGAAGGTGGAGCTGGTGCCCCTCAGGTAGAAGGGTTGCGCCGAGGCTGAGGGGCGGCCCTTGGGGGGTGAGGCGGGCTCACTGGGGTCTGAGTCCCCCGGGGCCTCGCCGGGCGGCTCCCTCGGGGACACAGCGTCCATCCCAGCACTGCCAGGCCAGCTCAAGTCCGAGTCTGAGTCGCTGAGGGACACGGTGTCAGAAGGCAGGGCGTCATACTCTGTGCCTTGCTCGGCCTCCAGGGGCTGTCCTGCCCCTGCCTCGGCCATGTGTCCCAGGGCACACCACGCCTAGACCAAAACAGCCCAAGAAGTTCGTTTCCGACGATCGTTTAGGACCGGTGCGTCCTGTAGACCCACTGCCCCGGGGCAGGCGGCAGGATCAGCATTAAGAACTGCGTCCTTCAAAGGAAAGGACAGAAGACCCCCTGAAAGCCCTCCTCTCACCTCCCCGTCTCAGGGACGCCAGTACAGACACCGGAGTGCTGGCAAAGGCCCCTTGGTGGCACAGGCGTGGTGGCCTCTGTCCGGGCTCCGTTCAGCTGCTCGACTGTAGTGGGCTGGGGGGAGGGAGAGCAGACCATCAGATCAGACAGCAAAGGTGCAGAGGCGGTGCCACGGCCCCAAGGGGCGGTCCCGGGTTTATGGAGGCCCGACAGAGGCCAGGTGGGGAGCAGGTCCTTGGGAGCTAAGCCTGGGGGGCAGGGGGCTGCTGGGGGTGGGCTGCAGTGGAGGCAGAGAGCCGGGCTTGAACCAGGGGACAACACAGCCTCCGCTTCACAGCACACGCTCTCACCAAGTCGGCTCGCTTACTAAACGCTAGGCACGGACGGCCCGGGGCACAGTCAGTCCTCAAAGACTGGGCTCCCCGCCCGGTCCAAGGCAAGGGGGTTTGCTCCCGATGGCTGGGAGACGCCCAGGGGGCCCCACAGGGGTCTGCAGCCAGGTCCTTGACATCTGAGGGTCAAGCTCTCAGGGAGCGGGGTGTCAATAACCCCCCGGAGCAGCCTTGCAGGGCAGAGGCAAGCCCGGCAGCAACCTCCAGTGCCGTCTCCCCTGGAGCCCTCCACACCCTCACCTTTCCCAGCAGAGACACGGGTTCCGTGGCCAAGTGGGACCCTGCGGGCAGCTAGCAGCTTGCGCTTCCAGACTCGGAGGACGGCCCAACCTCACCCACCCATCCACCGACACCCCCCCCCCCGGGGGTGACCCGCTGTCCCGCACCCACGAAAGACCAGGCAGGTGGACCCCGGGTGGCCGCGAGCGCCCCTACCAGGTCAGAGCCAGACGAGCTCGCCATCGCTCTGGGCCGTGACTCCCAAAGCGAAGGAACAACCCCAAGCCGGACAGGGAGCACGGAACACACGCCGCCAACGTGTCCCAGGGCTGGCAGGGCCGGCCAGGAGCGGTCACCTGCCAGCCACGCACGGAAAAGCTCCCGCTTCCCAAGTGCGCCTCCTGTCGCCCGCACGGCGAGGGGCTCCACCGCGACCAAGGGAAGAGCGTGACCAGCGGGACACTCCGGGGAGAGGCAGTGACAGGGAACCACGACAGGGAACCCGGGAGTTCCCTGCGGACGTTGCGAGCTCAGCGGGGGCAGAGCGCAGTCGGGGCTGGGGGGTCGGGGGCCTCCGAGGGCCAGGATCTGGGCAGGCCAGGCCCCAGGGAGCGGCACCAGGGCTTCCTTGCCGCCGCGCTCTCTCCCCTCGGAAGCAAACCCCTGGCTTTCTCCGCTCCGTGGGCCCAGCGGGCTCCCCGTGTCGAGGGCCTTGGACGGGCGAGGGTCCGGGCCTCACGTGGCTCGGGGGCCCAGCAACCAGGCCGTGTGGGACGGGAGACACGAAGCACATTGGGACCTCCGGGGTTGGTCAGGAGGCTGTGGACGACGGCCTCCCAGAGACCCGACCGACTGTCGGCGCCACCCTCCCTCACCTCAGACCTACCGGCTCACCGCGACCTGGGGGCCTCCATCTTGCGCCGCGCTCGGCTCTCTGGGAAACCGAGTCCACCGCGGACCCAGCGCCGCGGCGTCCGCACCTAAAGGACTACATCTCCCACAAGGCACTGGGCCGCTACTCCCGAGGCCTGTGGGACCGCTACTCCAGAGGCCTGTCGGGCCGCGCAATCCCTGCGCACGCGCCCACACTTTTCTCCTTCGCCCCTCACCCCCCCGCCCCCGGAAACGGCGGCGCTCCTTCGCGCAGAGCCGGAATTGATTAAGGAAAGGAGGGAGGAGGCGGAGGCAGCACTGAGACTCCCAGAATGCTCGAGGGCCGACGGCCCGCGCCGCGTTCCCGGGGCCCCAGCGCCACCTGCCGGAAGCCGCGAGGACAGACAACGCCTCAGGCCGGAAGCGCGTCGTCGCGCACTGCCCAGTTGCCTAGCCGAGCACTTCCGGTCCGGCCGGAAACCCGCGGCCGCGCCTCTTGTGGGTCCGGGGAGGGGGCCGAGCGCTGGTCTCAACCCCCAGGCGGGCAGGGGAGTGGCGGCCTGGCCTCGTCTGCCCACCGCGATGGCCTGGCTGGCTGCGTCCGCCCGGCCTACCCCTCGGGCTCTCCGTGGGCCCTGCTTCTCTCGCCCGGAAGCCCAGGGACCCCTTGTCCCCAGGCCTGCCCCCTGCAGCCCCCCAGGAGCGGCGGGCCGGGCGGCCTGGCCCCAGCACGCACCGCCCCAGCGCCGGGCCAGGATGCCACAGGGGCCATGCTGAGCAGGGGTTTCCTTGGGCCACCCTGTTCTCCCAGCGACCCTCCCTGGCACACATGGTGGAGGGGTGTGACCGGAGGGGGCCGACCCACCGAGACCTCCCGATCCACTAAGACCCGGTGGCCCCCAAAAGAGGCAGCTCCGAGCCTTCACCATGAATCCCAGCCAGAGCCTTGCGGTCTCAAGGGTCAATTTAGCACACACCAGACTGGTGCCCGCGCTCAGCTCATGGTGACATCACCTGGCATTGCTGAGTGGTGAGTGGGGGGAAAGCAGCCTGACCCAGGTGGCCTCAGTCTGCCTCCCTGGGCCCGGCGGTTCCCGCATTCCCTCCTGCAGTGGCTGAGATCTCCCCCTCCCGCCTGCGCAAGATGCAGCTTAGGCTCAGAGCTGCCTTGCGTCCCCAGGGAGCACCTAGACAGGCCTGAACAGACCCGTAGATGTGGGTCCTCCACAGAGCTGTCCCCCAGGAGGGGCCGTCCTGCGGCGCCCTACCCCAGGCACATCCTCTGCCCCCTTGTCTGGCTGCCCTGGTCCAGCTGCTTGCTCTGGGTGGTGGGGGAGCGAGGAGGGGGTGGAGGAGGTGGTGCATGAGGAGGTGGGGGAGCGAGGTTGGGTGGAGGCTGCTGAAGGTGGCACAGGGCCCGCCAAGGGGTACCTGCCGAGGGGAGCGCTCTCCAGGGGTGCCCCCGCCCCCCACCAGCAGGCTGGCAGCACACCTGGGCCCGCGAGGCCCACTGAGCCGAGCCTCCCGGCGCCAGGGGCTTTTGCCCCTGCAGCCACGCCCCAGGTCTCGGAAGCTGCCGGCACAGGAAGGGGCCAGACGGTTGGTTAGCATGCCCGGTTTTTCCTTCTTTATTGAATGACTTTCAAGATGTAATGACAGTTGAAGGTGACAAGTTAGAAAGGAGAGGTGCACTGAAGGCGTAGGGCTGCTCGTAGACCCGGCTCTAGACAAGTGGCGGGAGAGGGAAGAAGGTTAAAAAAGGCAGGAGCCGTGTAGCCCGTGGGGCGGGTGGGCGGGCCGCGTGGCCCCAGGAGGGGCCTGGCCGAGCGGGCAGAGCCCCTAAGCAGCCGCAGAAGCAGAGGGGCCCTCGCCTTGCAGTCCCCAAGGCCCAACTCACACGCCGTCTATAGGTGACTTCGGCCCCAAAAGGGAACGGGGAGCTTCAGGACAAAAACAAAACTTCAGAAGTAAAAAGGCTAATAAGTGTAGCAGAGCACTACCGGAGGAGTTCTGTACACAGGCGGCGGCCGCCCCTCCGGGGGGGAGGGGCTCTCAGGGAAGTCCGGTCACTCTCGGGCCACCGCAGGGCTCCCCCCCAGCCCTCCTGGCAGGAGCCGCTCAGTACACGGAGCTGTTCCGGATGCCACAGCACAGCACCATGCTCAGGATCATCTCGAAGATCTGCGGGGAGGGGAGGGCAGGGCAGGACAGTCAGCACCCGGAGACGCAGGGGGCGCCCTGGGCAGCTGCCCGGCCCGCGCACTCACCATGATCACAGCAACCACGATGGCCGCGATGCCGATGAGATACAGCTTTCCCGAGAAGAGGTCATCGATCTTCTGGTGGCAGTCCTCCTGTGGGGGCAGCCGGCGGGCGGTCAGGGGCGCAGGCAGCACGGGGCCACGGCGGAAAGAGCGTGGAGGGGCTCCGCCCCTCGGAAGAGGTGCAACTGGGGCCCAGTCGCTGCCAGGTTATCTCACATCCGTTTTATTGATTTATTTTTAAATTTTTTAATGTTTAGTTTTTGAGTGAGAAAGAAAGAGAGACAGAGCGGGAGGGAGCAGGTAGGGGCAGAGAGAGAGGGTAGCACAGGCTCTAGGCTCTGAGCTGTCAGCACAGAGCTTGACGCGGGGCCTCAAACTCACAAACTGGGAGATCGTGACCTGAGCCCATGTCGGACGCTTAACCAACCGAGCGCCCCGGGCGCCCCTGTCACATCCGTTTTAAAATGGATGTGGAAATGGAAGATGCTGTGTGCGCTGCTTTCCACTCAGGTCGCTAAGCACCGCGAGGAGGGTGCTGACCTGGGAGGCCAGCGCACCTTCCACACCCGCCCACCTGGGGCAGAGACTCGCCTCCCCCGGGGGCTGTCAGCATGGCCTCGGCCTCAGCCCAGCCCCCAGCAGAGCACCCCCACTGGGCACCGCACCACCCAGCCTGGCTGCTGGCCGCATCCCTGCCAGTGCCGTCGGAGCGCCCACGCGGCCCAGCCCACCGCCCAAGCCCTGCCCGGGAGCGAGGCTGGAGGCCCGGGCGCCAGCGCGTACCTTGAAGAGGTTGCTGATGATGTTGCTGCCCGAGGGACACAGGTTGTTCTTGAGCATGGACGTGGTCAGTGCAGACAGCGTGCTGGAGCCACAGCAGTTGAGCTGCCGAGAGCCAGGGCACCGTGCTCAGCCCCGGGCCCTCATGCAGAGGGGACCCGCCGGGAGATGGCTAAGGTCATCCCGCAGGCTGCCGAAGCCCCGGCAGCTGCCCTGTCCTGGCCTGGGTTTGGGGGGGGGGGGGCGTGGATGCTCCCGGGGAAGAGCACTGAGCCCAGGGGCCCCTCTCCTTCCTTCCTCCCACTCAGCGGTGCTGCCCAGAAAGCCCTGCAGCCGGGCCTAAGGTTCATCTGGTTCACACTGGGAATCCACAAGTCCCAGAGAATCCCCTCTGGAGGGGCTCCACTGCCCTCAAGGGGCAGGGCTGCCAGGGCCCCCAAGCCCCTCCTGTTGCTGAGGTCTGCGCTGGGGCCACACTCAACCCCAGCTGGGCCTCACCCAACAGCACAACGCCCCAATCCCCCAGCCCCACCCCGAACCCCCAGACCCCCAGGACCCGCTGCCGCACCGTCTCATGGAAGGTCTTCACCACGGCCTTGGCATTGTTGGCATCGTCGTCTACCACGGCCTGCTGCAAAGCCTGGTCGTAGAACTGCTTCACGTCCTTGGCGATCTGGGGGAGGGGTGTGTGGGAGGGGTAAGGTCACACCCACAGCAGGGACCACCCCCCAGTGGGGTTGAGGGGCCCTCAAGTATTCACTGGCTCTCCTGGGAAGATACTGCTTCCAGGACAGACCTGGATGCCTCCCCCACCTCCACCCTGGAGGCTGGGAGACAGGGGAACCTGCCTTCTACTTGGCCCCCAGGGCACCTCCTCCAGAAAGCCCTCCAGGGCCTTTCATCAGACAGGCCCCAGGGGGAGCCCCCAGCAGCACCTGCGATCCAAGGGCAGGCCCACCCGCTGAGTGAGCAGCAGGGGGCTGCCTCCTCCTGTCCAGGTGGCCAGGCCCCACCCCCAGGGCCCCAGGCTCACCTGGTCTTTGTTGACAAAACCCCAGATGCCAGCAGCTACTTCACAGGCAAAGAGGATGACCAGGCAGGTGAAGAACTGGGAACGGAGCAGAGGACCCAGAGGAGGGCAGAGAAACGGGGTATTAGAGCAGGCACGGGGCAGCTTGAGGCTCACTGACCACAGATGACAGGCACCCGAGTGACGCACGGGTGTGTGTGTGGGTGTTCGGTGGCACCCGGCCGCGTCCCGACCAGGGAGGTGCTGCGTGGAGTCGAGAAGCGTGTGCGGAGCCTATCATCATCCCCGCAGGGTGGGCTCTGCATGATGGGGCCGCGGGAGGGGCTCAGAGGGCTGGGACTGCAGGCTGGCATAGCCCCGAGAGGGTCTGGGCCCCCCGTGGCCCCCTGTGCACCCTGCTTCTCCCTCTCCCCACGGGAAGGGGGTGATCGTGCTACAGTGCCCACTGCCCACGCCTTCCGGGTTGGGCTGGCCTCAGCTTTCCAACCGAGGCTGGCCGTGGGCGGGGGTCCCACTCCCTGTTGTTTCTGTGGCTTTTCTTTAAAAACAAAGAAGGGCGCCCGGGTGGCTCAGTCGGTTAAGCGTCCAACTTTAGCTCAGGTCATGATCTCACGGTTTGTGGGTTCAAGCCCCGCGTCAGGCTCTGTGCTGACAGCTCGGAGCCTGGAGCTGCTTCAGGTTCTGTCTCCCTCTCTCTCTGCCCCTCCCCCGCTCACACTGCGTGTGTGTGTGTGTGTGTGTCTAAAAACTAAATAAATAAATATTTTTTTAAACAAAGAGAAAAGCAACTGTGGAACTGAGAGTCAGGAACCAGGCGTGGCCAGACTCCAGGACCAAACAGGGAAACCAGGGGGAGAGGCCCCTGGGCCCCCGGGAGAGCCCGCCTCCAGGGGGGCAAGAGGGTCCCGTGGGAGGT